AAGGAATTCATCTTAACTGAACAAAACACCCCTACTCTAAACCAGCACCCTGTGGTGCCAAGATATCTTTTCTACGTTTTGTAACAGTATCCGGTCATGTGACCTCTTTGTTCAATACTGTATATATATATATATATATCTGTGTAAACTACTTGTACCTGATGATCACAAAACCTTGTCTTAACGTTGTACATTTGTTGTTATGTTATATTTATATTAACATTTTTCTTCATTACCCATTCAAGCCGTCTCCAAGCATAATTAAAGTGGGTTTATCGTCATCGAAATCGAATAAGATAGAAAATTAAATAGTAACGTCTGTTTATGTTTGGGCACTTGGGGAAGGCAAGCAAAATTTTGAATAGCAAATGTATGGGCTTAGTGGCCATTGGTAATGGTAAATATATGGGCTTATTGGTCATTCCTATTGGTAAATATATGGGCTTAGTGGTCATTTATAACGATAATTATATATGGGATTTAGGAACCACTTACCACTACCGAAGTGTCTTTCAATGTTTGATCGAGTTATAGGCTGACCATCCTCTCGACGCCAAGTGATACTGGGAGTAGGGTACCCTGTAACCACGCAGGTCAAGGTCACATTTGATCCTTCCTTGGTACTAATATCAGAACTGGTGTTTTCACGCTTGATTTGAGGGGGGTCTAAAAGTAGATGTAATTATATTTAATATTTAATCTACCACATCAATATTTCAGTCCTTTTGATGTTGTAATTACATTTAATATTTAATTTACCACATCATTATTTCAATCCTTTTGATGTTGTAATTACATTTAATATTTAATTTACCACATCATTATTTCAATCCTTTTGATGTTGTAATTACATTTAATATCTAATTTACCACATCATTATTTCAATCCTTTTGATGTTGTAATTACATTTATTATTCAATTTACCACATCAATATTCCAGTCCGTTTTTCTCAAAAAAAATTATACTTTAATATCGAGCTCAATATTTTCTGAATGACAAATTATCTATTGTGTGGAATAAAGTCCTGCTTATTTATTTATTTCTTTTCTATTGGAAAAAAAATTATAAGATTTTTACTTCTATTTATTTGTCGTAAACGGGAATTCTGATTATTTTTATCATAAAACTTAAAATGTGCTATTTTGCAGTTTGTTTTTTTTTATCTAAAATTCAGTGTGATATCTAATTCTTATAACCGGGTGTAACCCGTGGCTAGAGCGCAGGGCTGTGCATCGGAAGGTCCATGTTCTCGCCGCAATGAAGCTGAACATGCTTCACACTTTCAGCTGTAAAATCAACCAGGTTATTCAGCTTAAAGTTGAGTATAATCCGTGTTGCTTCATATGCTGGCGACTTCCCTTTAGTCGGTAGTATTTCAGAATTAAGAACTTTACACCTGAACACAAGGGGTCTCTGATTTCGTCATTTATCCCCAAGTGTGCATAAGTGGCCGCTTAGGTTAAAAATGTCAATATCAAACTAATCATTTTCACAGTTATCATATCGCCATCGCTTATAGATTTGATAACAAACGAACTGCACGAGATTGAATGAGCGAAACAGTATAGTTCGTTTATTATTAATCATTTACACGTTCACAATCTTATATTGATCAGAAATTAGAAATAACAATAAAAAACTTTAATTAATAAGGTAATCTAATCGACGAAACACATTGATGGATCTACAAGAGATGTAATCTTAACTGTATTCAAACTTTAGCTAAACAAACAAGAATGATTTTAGTTCCTTGAAGTATGTCTTTTCTCTGGTATCGTACCCCGAATTTTAGCATTGTAAGCACTCAAGCTACCGAGGAGCTCATTTTTAAATATATATGCATATATATCCAAATATCTGTCTTCTTAAATGCTGTTTATGAAATATCATAGATATGCTCGAAAATATATATATATATATATATACTATACCTATCCGATTTGCCATGAATATTGTTTTAGCACGTGGCCTGTGATGAGAATTTGCGTACTTCAAGTACAGCTGTTGATAATTATAAGTTAAATATATTTTTATTAATCTTATAAACTTATGCTAATGTTTAGAAATATATTTTATTTTTAACACTCCTTTAAAGTTACCTACCCATCCACCCGATTTTAATAAATTAATAGTTGCTCCAGTATTGTTGAGAAGCTTCTTGCCGACCATTTGTAAAACAAATACAGATTAAATCAAAGAAGAAATGTTAGAAGAGTAAAGATGTTATCATTAACTATTATCTTACGCTAGAAAGAAGCTATTATCACCTGTAGAATAATGTTAGAATGAAGCGAATATTTTCTAGTAATATTTAATGTTAGAATAAGGCTATTATCATAAAGTAATATCGAACGTTAAAATAAGGCTAATATCATAAAGTAATATCTAACGTTAAAGTGAAGCTGGTATCATAAAGTAATATCTAACGTTAAAGTGAAGCTGGTTAGATATTACATTATTATACTAGCTTCACTTTAACGTTAGATGTTACTTTATGATCCTAGTTTCACTTAAATGTTAGATATTACTTTATGATATCACTTCTACATAACGTAAATCTCATCTAACGATACTGCTAAGTATTATAGTGAAAACAAGTACCATCCAATAATCTTTAAGGTCTGATTCAGTAAGTTACTAAGTGTAAACTTAGTTGTCTGATTCAGTAAGTTACTAAATAAAAACAGTTGTCTGATTCAGTAAGTTTCTAAGTTTGTTTGTTTTTGAATTTTCGCGCAAAGCTACACGAGGGCTATCTGCGCTAGCCGTCCCTAATTTAGCAGTGTAAGACTAGAGGGAAGGCAGCTAGTCAACAACACCCACTGCCAACTCTTGGGCTACTCTTTTACCAACGAATAGTGGGATTGACCTTCACGTTATAACGCCCCCACGGCTGAAAGGGCGAGCATGTTTGGTGTGACGGGGATTCGAACCTGCGACCCTTAGATTGCGAGTCGAGCGCCCTAACCACCTGGCCATGCCGGGCCAAGTTACCAAGTGTAAACTTAGTTGTCTGATTCAGTAAGTTACTAAATAAAAACAGTTGTCTGATTCAGTAAGTTACTGAGTGTAAACTTAATTATCTGATTCAGTAACTTACTAAGTGTAAACTTAGTTGTCTGATTCAGTAAGTTACTGGGTGTAAACTTAGTTGTCTGATTCAGTAAGTTACTGAGTGTAAACTTAGTTATCTGATTCAGTAAGTTACTGAGTGTAAACTTAGTTGTATGATTCAGTAAGTTCTAAGTGTAAACTTAGTTGTCTGTATCAGTAAGTTACTGATTGAAAACTTAGTTGTCTGTATCAGTAAGTTACTGAGTGTAAACTTAGTTATCTGATTCAGTAACTTACTAAGTGTAAACTTAGTTATCTGATTCAGTAAGTTACTGAGTGTAAACTTAGTTGTATGATTCAGTAAGTTACTGAGTGTAAATTTAGTTGTATGATTCAGTAAGTTACTGATTGAACACTTAGTTGTCTGTATCAGTAAGTTACTGATTGAACACTTAGTTGTCTGAAGCGCAGGACTAAGCGTAAAGAGAACATAAAGTGTTATGTTGAAGCATGAATTGTTTACTGAAGGCAAGTCCATTTTTACGCGGATTGTCCAGTTACCTACTAAACTAACGCAAAAGATACTACAGTTTCAAGTGTTTAAACCAGTTGATTATTAGTTATAATTCTCTAGTTATTTACTTACATACTACATCCAGATACCCCACTTGGCTCATCATGGGGGCAGTGTTCACCTGACACATGTAGCCACCTCTGTCGGACTCCTTCACATCCTTGATTTGCAGCACAAAGTTCCTGTTGTCAACGTGATTTAAGCTGATCCGGTAATTTCTTGTGATCACGTGGTCGTGGATAGAGAGTATATCCTTAGACTCTACTTTTATCCATGCCGCCTGTCGTAAAGAGAGAGGCGGAATTAATAGAAAGATAGAACTTAAGAAATAATTGATTAGTGTATATTAGAAATGAAGAGAGAAAGCTTACCCGACGAAGCCAGAAGTAACCAAAAAACGAGAAAGTTAAGTATATCACAGATGGCTATACTAAACGAAAATAATATTGACAGTTTTTTTTTCTTTTTCTTCTCCCTTTTTTTTTTTTTTTGCTTTTTTTTTGTTGTTGTTGACAGTGATTTCATCCTTCCTTCTCTAGAGTGGCTCCGCTGAATGACTAAATATAAAAGTGGATTTCAGAGCATTTACCCGAAATGACGCAGTTACTGAATTGAATCAATCAAACTCGGGTGATCAGTAAACGTAATGACAGTAGCAGACACGCTGAAATTCTGTAACTTTTCTAATCTAAGGAACCCGATAAAAAGTTTCGTCATTTTATTTTGCATTTTTTGTCAAATATATTCTTAAATATACCATATTTCAAAGCCGTTTATCGCTGCATTTTTGTCTGTTTTATGAGGCTGTCTGGAGTTTAGATTAACCATAGAACTTGCTAAATACTTTGAAACTTATTTATGAAGAGAAGTTAAGACCAAAATGATAATGATCAGTAAGCCAAAAAGTAAATATCCAAAGGCACGATGTTATGTTAATAAACAGTTGTGTCACAGGTGAAACCACAGTTTCAATAATTAGCCACGTCTTGTACAAAGATAAAACTCATTATTCAGTACAAGCAGTGAATATAGGCGAAAGACACCTCATTTATTACAATAAGTGAGCATATAAGGTCGTCAAGAAATTAACGTCCTTTTTTTTAAATGAAAAAACCCGAACAAATTATATATCAAAACGAAACATTTATAAAATGTCATTGTTTCCATTCTTATCGATGGTGCTTTTCCATCTTACAATTAGGTTGTTAATGCCGTTATTAAAGAAACCACTTGGCTTTGAAGCAAAAAAAAACATGTCGATGTTTTTTTTTAACACCTTCCACATTTGCATACGTTTTCCCATTAAGATGGTGTTGCAGCGAACGAAAAAGATGATAATCTGATGGTGCTATATCTGGAGAATATGGTAGGTGAGGAAGAACTCCCAACCGAACTCTATAATCTTGTGTTGCATCAAACGTGCCACGATTGACAAGTGAAGGGCG